AAGAAGCTGACATCAATATTTTCTGCTACATTTTACACATTCACGCACATTAAGTACAAATCTCAGGCACATTAAGCACACAACACTCACGCACATTGGGTACAAATCTCACGCACATTAATCCACCGCACATCCGCAGGGGAACCTTTCACTATATATATATATATATATATATATATATATATATATATATATATGTATATATATATATATATATATATATATATATATATATATATATAAGCACACAACACTCACGCACATTGGGTACAAATCTCACGCACATTAATCCACCGCACATCCGCAGGGGAACCTTTCACTATATATATATATATATATATATATATATATATGTGTATATATATATATATATATATATATATATATATATATATATATATATATATATTAAAGCTAGGGTTTGTTATTAGATAATGTTTAATTATATAGTAGCAAACAACTTTTATAATGTTATCCCAACATATTTCATGTGGTTGAGATTTGGAAGTGTTTCTTTGAAGTTCTGGCATGGACCTTAGTATAGATAAATAAATAAATAAATAAATAAATAAATAAATAAAGCTAAATTTTTTTTTTAAAAAAAAAAAAAAAGAAAAAAAGCTTCAACATTCCAGTTGTATTGTCCTATTCACATCAACGTAATAAGTGATATATAAATGGAATTTATATCTCCCTGCCTACTCAAGTGCAACCTACCTAGCTGTTATATTAATTTATTTCGATCTCTCAATTAAATTTAAGAGCTTCAATTCTCATGGCTCCTGCTCTGGAGACTAGTGAAGGAGATAAATCGTAAGATGTGTTTCAACTGACATATTAATTTATTTCAATCTCCTAAACTTAAGAGCTTCAATCTCATCGTTTCTGCTCTGGAGACTAACGGATGAGATAAATTGCAAGATGTGTCCCAACTATCCTACAGACCTTCAAATATTTATACACTAGTGTTCACATTCCCAATGAAAGTTTACAGTTTTGTTACTCGTGGGACAAAAATTATAACTTTTTGTAATGATAAAGGTGTATTTTATAATGACTAAAAAGTTTATAAGTGCATAATTGAAGGACTAAAAACAGATATTTCCATTTATTCTATATGCTTAATTGAGATTCTAACCTCTTTTTTCCAAAGTAAATTCATCAAAACTTGACATATTCATTTTTTTTGTACTCTAGTTAGAGACTATCATCCAATAATTACTTTAAGTTTATAAGTGCATAATTGAAGGTTATTATATTGTGATGGTGTATTCAAAAAAAAATATTAATAATAATAATTTTGTGATGGTAGGGATTCAGTTAATTAAACCTCATGCAGTATATATTTAATTCAAATGTAATAAATGTTTGCAATATTAATTGTCAATTACATGCATATTCATTTCTTGCTAACAGCAACTTTCATGATGGCCGAATCAGATATAACCAGTATAGGTTTCAAATCTGGTTTGATCCACACATGAAGAAGCAGTTACGTTGTTTGTAATACATTTACGGAAGGGTATTGAATTGAAATATATATATATATATATATATATATATATATATATATATATATATATATATATATATATATATATATTGAAAGGTTCCCGTGCGGTTGTGCAGTTGATTAATATGCGTGAGGTTTGTACTCAATGTGTGTGAGTATTGTGCTTAATGTGCCTGAGATTTGTACTTAATGTGTGTGAGTGTGTAATGTTAATATGCGTGAGTTTTGTACTTAAGGTGTGTGAGTCTTGTGCTTAAGGTGCGTGAGTTGTGTGCTTAATGTGCGTGAGTGTGTTTTTCATCCACTGCTGTGAAAATTATGCGCATCCACTGCTGCATTTTCTTATTGTTTTTGTTTCGAAGTGGTGGATGAATGGATTTTGTCTTGTTTTTCTTTGCATACTGAGGGGCCTTTTGAGTTTTCTTACCACCCTCCCCAGTCTCCTTTGTTTCAACCTCATTCACAATGTCTTTTATGCTCTTACATATTGAAACATTTTCGCGCTCATTAGCATTCTCTCTCTCCTGTACAGATAAAACATAAAATCAGAACAGCCATATGTGCGTTTACATATATCCATCCATTCACACACAATCAGAAAAGCTTCACCCACCTTCTCTTTCTGTTCTGTTTCCTTCTGAGCTCGTAATTCTGAACTCAAGTCACGCACATTAAGCACAATACTCAGGCACATTAAGTACAAAACTTACGCACATTAACATTACACACTCACGCACATTAAGTATAAAACTCATGCACATTAATCAACCGCACAACCACACGGGAAGCCATAAATTCACCTGATCCCTTCCCTATATATATATATATATATATATATATATATATATATATATATATATATATATATATATATATATATATATATATATATATATATATATATATATATATATATATATATATATTATAGGCTAAGAATCATGTGAGAACAGTACCATACCATAGGAGAGAAATAATAACAAATCTTAGTTTTACATTTATAAAATTTTGACGAATCTGATCAAATTTAAAAAATAAAAAAAATAAATAAATAAAAAGAAGCGGTGGCTTTTCGTAATTATCATCAATTTCACTGTGCAAACTTAAACACTTAAATATGTAATCTTCAACAACTAAATACGCAAACATGGTAAATTTTATAAAATCAACGAAAAAGTTAAATTTTAAATCTAAACCGTAAATGTTAGACCCTAAGCAATAAAAAGTGAACTACTAAACCAAATAAAACCAAAAATTCAATCAAACTCTAAAATCGAAATCTTAAAAAGAACAATGGACTTTCACATTTTTGCAAGTGCAATTTTTTAATACTAAATGTGCAAACCTGAAAAAGTCTGAGAATGGCAGATTTTACTGTTCAAGTTTGCATAGTAAAGTTGGTAATAATTACGAAAATGCCATTACATATTTTTTTAAAATCTCTCTCTCTTTATATATATATATATATATATATATATATATATATATATATATATATATATATATATATATATATATATATATATATATATATATATGAAAATAATCATACAGAATTCTCAGAAGAAAATTAAGAACCAATTTAAATTGTTTATCTGGCTAGATTTAACAATTCTAGAGCAATGAAAAAATTGTGGTTTCATTTTGATAATTTTTTTTTTCAACTTTAAAAGTGCATTATATAACAATATATGGTTCATTTTTGACTAGCTTGAAAATATAATACACTTAACAATATACACTTAACAATATATGGTTCGTTTTTCGTAGGATTTGTAGCCATGGATCGTTTGGTCTATTGATACCAATTCAAATGAGAATAATAATTTTGGAATAATCTTATTATTGATCAATCCATGATGATGTAAAGTACATGATGAAGAGATCGTCAGATGTATTTATAAGGATATAAAGAGTCTCTCTGTCGGGTCGGAGTGTGGGGGGACCCTTAGGGTTGGGGATTCAGCCTTTTGGGGTAAGGATATAAAGAGTCTCGGTCATGATATGAATGGTAAATGACAGGTTTTAGGGTCTGTCTTTATACGGTTAAAAAGCGCACTTTCAAAGTTAGAAAAACTTACTAGAATGCCACAACATTTTATCTTTCAAAGTGCATTAGATGTGTTAAATTTTGTCAGATGGACACTTGAGTTCTCATGTTAATGTGTGCCTACACACACAAATATATTCCCTTTGTCCTATTTTATGTGTTCATTTCACTAACGAGGTTGACTGAAGTTATTTTTAATTCAATTTTTTTTATTTAGTATTAGAATACAAAATTTATATATTTAGAAACTACATTAAAAGTAGTATTAAACACACAAAAAAAAATCACATTTTAAAATACTAAAAATAATAGGGAAAATGGCACTTTTTCCCCCTGTGTTATATGCTTATAGCACTTTTTCCCCCTGAGTTATTCATGCATTCACATTTGCCCCCTCAATTATTATAAAAGTGGCGGTTTTTCCCCCTGATAATATTAAATGGGCATTTCTACCCTTAAAACAAATATTTTATTTATTTCTCTTCTTCAACAAATTATTGCTTATACGTAGGGATGACCACGGTTCGGTTCGAACTGAACCAAACACTATAGCAATCAAATTAAAAAATTTCGGTTATGATTCATAACATAACCCAATATTTGGGTTTCCGTTTATTAAAATCGTGAACTGGAAAAAAATGGATCCTGAACCGTGAACCGGAGGTTCAAATAGGATTAACTACTAGCAATAGCTTAAATTAGAATCATAATATTTGCAAATAGTGTATGTTTTTTTTTCGCATTTATATTGACTCTCACATATAAGTATATATAATCGCGGTTTGAGTTTTATTTTGAACCGTCGGTTCACAATTTTGGATCCAATTTGAACGGTTGGTTCAAACTTTCTTTTAAAATTTTATTTTTTTATTTTTAAAATATTCTAAATTCAACACTTAATGTATTTTATTTTTTCAAATCGTGGTTATAATTTGTTGGAGAAGAAAAATAAATGAAATATTTATTTTAAGGGTAAATATGTCCATTTAATATATCAGGGGGAAAAACTGACACTTAAATAATTTAGGGGGAAAAAGTGCTATAAGTATATAACAAAAGGGGAAAAAGTGCCATTTTCCCAAAATAATAATAAACACATATAAAAGAGTTGGTTTGTCTAATGAATACCAAACAAGGTAGGTAAAGTAGAATAGATGAGAGAGGGAGAGAGTAATAAATAATAATATTATGTATATATGTGTGGTCCAACATTATATATCATATCATGCATATGCATTTACTAAAGTAGTTCTGAACATCAAGGTTTATAGACTTAGTCATAGACAAGCAGGTGAAACTTTTATTGCACCCACCATAGGCCACACTTTTGTGTGTAGACTTTTCTTTCTTTCTATTCTACCTATTAGCTATTAGCTATTAGCTATTAGCTAAGCCATCCATCTCCTCCACTACCACCCCCATCCACCGACACCAGGATAGCTACATAAACCCAAACCCACCCATTCGGCGCCATAACTCTTCATCTATTTCTCACACACATTCCCTCTCTCTCTCTCTCTCAGCTCCCTACCTCAATATCCATTCTGAACATATACATACAACATCTATCTATATCTCTGAAGCTCTCTTTATTATTCTCCATTACAAAAGTAAGTAAAGCTTTAAAAACAAGTAACATGGTACAATCAAAGAAGTTCAGAGGTGTCAGACAACGCCAGTGGGGCTCTTGGGTTTCAGAAATCCGCCACCCTCTTCTGTAAACCCTATTTACCTCATTTATATTCATTCTTTCTTCACCTACATTATATATATTCTTCCTTTAGAATGTTAGCATATATACATACACCCAGTACATTTCTCCATTCTTTCATTCAATATATATATATATACACTAGGAATTGAAGCCCCCACCCACACACACTTTTGAGCTGACAGGGATTTTTTATTTATTTTTTTTAAAAAAAAAAAACCTTAAAACGATGTGTTTGTGTTTGATAACAGAAAGAAGAGGATATGGCTGGGGACTTTTGAGACGGCGGAGGAAGCCGCCAGAGCTTACGACCAGGCGGCGGTGTTGATGAACGGGCAGAACGCGAAGACGAACTTCCCGGCTGCGGCGGTTGCCAAGGAGAAGAGCAACGGCAACGGCGGGGAGGCGACGCCGCCAATCCCGGTGGATGTTCTAAGCGCGAAGCTGAAGAAATGCTGCAGAGAGCCGGCGCCGTCGATCACCTGCCTGAGGCTGGACACGGACGGCTGCCATATCGGAGTTTGGCAGAAGAAATCCGGCAAGGATTCCGGCTCCAACTGGCTCACCAAGATCGAGCTGCAGGGAAAGAAGAAGAAGAAGAAGAAAGTTTGCGCTACTGAAGAAGAAGAAGAAGAAGAAGAACGCCAAACCCCATCATCATCCACTACTGATAATAATGCAGGAGGAGGAGGAGGGTACTGTAATTCATGGGATAATATAGTTTCGCCATCTTCATCATCTTCATTATCTTCTTCTAACAATTCTCTTGGGATATCATCATCATCACCAGATGAATTAGTAATTGCCGATATGGATGACGAGAACAGAGTGGCAATGCAGATGGTTGAAGAGCTTCTTAACTGGAATATTCCAAACTCATCAATTCATCAAAATTAATTTTATATATCATGTTCAAGATATGATGTTGCTTTCATGTTAAATGATGACACCAATCTTTTACTTATTATATATTAATTATCATGTAAAATTAATTAGGGTTCCCTTTTAAACCTTTAATCTGTATAACAATATATATAAATAATTATTAATTAGTATTATATATATAGAGGTTATTATTGGCTTTAAGGTAGTCTAGCTAGCTAGTACCAAGAAAGTAAGAAGCCAAATCTATTTTAATTTTACCCTTTTCCTTTTATTGATTTTCACCATCTTAGTTTGAATGTTGTAAATTGTAAATGATGAATAAAGTTAGTTGATTTATGAATATATGATACTATATATAGTACATATATAATTCTTTTTCTCTTTTTTTTTTTAAATACAAAATTAGCACAAATGAAATGACTCTTCTAATCTCATAATCTAAATATGACGACATTAATTAATGACATACTGAGGTTGTCAGTAATGTATAATAATGACTATTAGATCGGTTAAGCTTTGGATGAGGACAAAGTGGGTTGTTGTTGGACCAGAAGTGTAATGGTGAGGAACCTCTCTTGAGGTCCTAGGATCTTCTCTCCTCATTTTTTGATCCAAAAAATATAAATAATAATGACTATTAGACCGGTTAAACTTTGGACTTGTCTTACAATTTGAGTCTTAAATTATTAATTAATTCTTTCTATACTTGGAACCGAGTAACCCACTAAAAATAGGCTAGACTCAAGATCAACCTCAACCTTTATATCAATGGTCTGAGCTAAGTCCTCCCTTAGGCTTAGGTTGGGGACCACTCCTTAACACCTGAAAAAAAATTACAATTTTCATCTTTAAATTTTGAGTAATTGTTATTTTCATTCCTAGTTCTTGCACATGTATTATATTCTTCTGGATCAATTATTCTTAATCAACAATATTCGGGTTCTCTCCAATTCCTGTAATTTGTTTGTAATATCCCTTAGCTTGGGGCTAATTATTGTCAGGATCACAATATTTCAACCGGATGATGCGTGAATGTAAGTGTATGTTTACAACAATACCCTCCAATTGCAAGAGGTTTAATTTAAATAGAGAAGTAACAGCCGAGCATATTGTGCTCAGATGACATGTAGTGATCTCTTCCATGTAGGAGGTTATGAAATCGAGTCTTAGTGAAGGCATTGTTGTTGTTTGGTTAAACAGCTTATTGCTGCAAAACGTTAAAATACAAAAAGTTTTTTGAGAAAAAGAAAATAAAGTATACCCTTAAGGTCATTTTGTATGTAATCACCTAAGAGCTCATTTACCAACCATTTTTCTGCTAATTTATCAAACATTTTTTTACAACCAGCTAATGTTATCAGTTAGTCAAACTCACTAACCTAATCCGCTAACAGCTAACAACTATTTGCCAAACACCCCATTAAGTAAAGACATTAAAAAAAATGAGCACATGCAAAAACTAGAGATGAAAATCGCGATTACTCAAAAATTTAGAGATGAAAATTGCAATTGTCTTTTAACATATTAATGTGTATTAATCTATATATGGAGTGATATTATTTACACTTTTTGCCTACTTGACATATATAGTGGAGTATGAAGGTGTAATAATTTTTGAAAACACCATTTACCTAACATAAGTGCACATGTAGTATTTGATTAATGTCGCTATTGGTTTTCTTTCAATCTAATATTCTAATCCTAGAATATTGTTTTCATTCTTAGTTAGTTGAAACTCTTAGGAATTGAAGTTAACGGAAAAACCAACATAATATATCCTTTTCATCACACTTTGCTTACAAGAATTCCTCCTAATATTGCTCTCCCTGTCGGAAAGTGACAACAATAATCATTTAGTTACAATTAAATATATGTCTTAATTGGTTGATTGTAAAAAAGAAATAAAAAGAAAAAGATGTGCGATGAAACCTTTTTATATATGTTTCATATCTGACGAAAATTAGTCTTCATACATTTATGATAATTGATTGTTGTGTATGTAGATCATATTTCATTATCTTTTCTTCGCCCAACAGGTTTAATTCCCAACCCCAACCCCAACCCCAACCCCAAGGGCCCCGCATCCCGACCCGATTCAGCAGACAGGGTCAAATAACAGTGCGCACAATGGATCTGTCCACTTTAGACATAATTCTCACACTATCGCCGCTGAGTTTGAACTTTGATATCTTCTTTCAAATACTGCTTACCGAACCACTGAACTAAACCCGTGCGTGCTCATATTTCATTATCTTTTTTTTTAATTAAAAAGATTATATTGTAGTGTAATTATAATCAATTATTGAGCGTTCAGGTGCAAGCTTTTTGAGCTTATTATGAGATTTGTGTTACGCTACACAATTCAAACTCCTTAAAAAAGAAGAATTGTGCTTATATTAGTGCAAACCAACATGCTTTTCTAATGTGGAAGAAAGACTATTTAAAAGTGTTTCCAAATTTTATTTTTTCCAATTCAATGGATATATATACTTTGAGAATCAATTTTACATTCACTCATTATCCATTTTGAGCGTATAATACATCAAATTCGTTCTCTCAACTAGTAAAACCCAAATCCACTTTGATCGATGCAAATCGTAGTTAAATTAACATCTCAAAATAACCACTTAAAAGGTCAATTTATACTAAATTTTTTAACAAAGTATTGCAGAATTTCAAAACGCTAAAAGTGTATCATATGATATATAAAAGTTAAAATATTTTGAGTGTATTTTTACATATCATACGATACGTACGCTTTATAGTTTTGTGTGGTACTGGAGTCACATTTCTAACTGCACTCTTAATACCTATCATCATATGCAGTTGGTAATTTTGCACATTATATTGCACGTTCATGATTTTTACAAGAAAGTTGTTCACACCTCAATTTTACCAAAACTCCAATTACCTAATTTAGCAACTTTTAACGTTTAACAATTAGCACTCAAGCAAGTGTGCCAAATAAAGTCTTAGACTCCTACAATATGTTTGGTTCACGACAGTAACTAATTCCCTCGCTAAATTGTTTGAAAATTTAAAGCTGCTTCATTTTCAAAGCCAAGCATCAAACCCTTGACCTTTGGTTAAGGAGGGATGAGTCCCTTCCACTCAACCACATCCCCAAGTTGGCAATAAATAAAATTAAATATGAATTTTATTTCATTGTTTGTTTAGTTCACAGAAAAAATAGATCGACTTTAAGAATGTTATTCCATTGTTTAGTTGATTTAAAGAATAAAAATCGAATAAATTTTCAAACGACATATATAAATACCTCTCTACTAAACAACAACAATAATAATAATAATAATAATAATAATAATAATAATAATAATAATAATAATAATAATAATAATAATAATAATAATAATTAGTATTATTATATTATTATTATATACGTGTAGTTATACTGTAAGCATTATCGTGTTTGCTTTAACTTTTATGGATACGTATTTTTTATTGAATACTTTTAATCTAACATAATAATATGTTTCTAGTACATAAAATTATCAAATAATATTATTCTATAGCAATTAGATTATTGTTATAAAAAAAAAAAGATATATAAGTTATTATCAAACAAAATATCCATATAACTAAAAAAAAAATAAATTGAAGGACACTTAATAATATTTAAAAAAAAAAAAGAATAGCATAAGTTTTTTTTTTTTCAAACAAAATATTCAAAAGAAACATAAATAATATATAATAAATTACAAACAAAAGAATAATAGTTGTAATGTTAATAAAATGTAAATATTAATAATGATTAATTGTCATCACGTGCCATACAAGAAGATAGTGAAGTGCTGCAATGGGGAGAAAAAGAATCTAACAAATTTTAGGTTTAACATGAGGGTAAATTAGGAATTAATAAATATAGGATATTCCTAATAACTCAAGAATAATCTAATACCACAACAATCCCAAGAATAGTGATTTCCTTTATAAGGAGGATAGCTCATTCTTAAGAATAAATTTTTTAACAAACAATGAAATATGTCTATTCTCGAGAATATAATGTCATTCAATTGCAAATTTATTTCATAAACCAAGTGTACTGTTAGTGCACTTATTGGGTATTAAGTTTGAATAATTTGAAAATAATTAATTTCTTTTAATTTAAAAGTATAAAAAAAAAGAAAACTTTATAGCTAATATAATTTTTTTAAAAAATTATTTTCTTTGAATTGAGTAGCTAGAATATTGGTAGCTAGGTGTAATAAAGCAATTTGCAGATGGAGAACAAAGCAAATGCATTTCTATTCACACAACATATATAATGAAAAAATAATAATAAAAGGAGAAAAAGTATTTCTCGTGTTGCACCATAATAAATTAAAGGAACTGCAAAAGGGGGTTGGTTGAGGGAAGGGGACAAGGGGTATTATTAGAGAAGAAAGAGTACAGTAACCTTGTGAACTCAAAAAAAAAAAAGTCAGATTATAATTGTACTATAAATTAAAGCAAAAGTTTTCATCACCTTTATCCTTTAGGGGATGTTTGGTTCATGGAAAAAAACTTCCAAGAAAAATGATTTCTTAAAATTTGAGGAAACAAGAATTTTATGATATTTGGTTCATGGAAATTGTTTTTCAATGAAAAACTAATTCCTCAAATATAAGGAAAACAATTTCTTAGCATAGGGTTGGTATTTTGTTTTTCAAGATTAGAGAGAAGAAAGATTGAGTTGATTGGACTATTTTACCCTTATGCTTTCCTCTTAATTATTATTGTATATAGGGACATTTAGGTCTTTAATTTATACACATTATTCCTTACAATCTTCCAAACAATAGAATTCATATTCCCAGTAACTCATTTTCCACCAACTAAACAATGGAATCCATATTCCCAATAACTACTTTTCCATGGAATTTCAATTCCATTTGCTTTCGAATATTTTCCGCGAACCAAACGAGCCCTTAGACTTTAGAGCATCTAGTAGTGTTTTTTTTTTTTTTTTGAGGTGTCAATTAGGAGAGAGGGGAATGAAAGAGAATAAAAAATAAATAAAAAAGCAGGCCCTGACGCTAAAAAAACAAAAAACAAAAAAAAAGATAGAGCATTTGACGCGCCCGACTGGCGCAATCTTGCTAGAGGAACTCATCTCTTCTCTCTCCTCTACATAATTCATGTTATCCTCAAAAAATGTGAAAAACCCACATATGAATGCTCTTAAGACATTTATTATGAGTAAAAAGAAAGCAAAGGAAAAGAAAATATATATCAATTTTTACTTAATTTATTAAAGAAAAATTTACAATGTCATGAATTATAGTGTTATTTAGTATGTAGAGGTAGACTAGTAGAGTATAACTTGTAAAGCAAAGGTATAA